TTCAGGTCTTTATCCAAATTCTTCTCTATTTCTTTCAAATCGTCTTCAAGTTTAGCCATTGAAGTCCATTCAGACTCGCAATAGTTCTCTAACTCTTTATTTCGGGCCTCTATTTGTTGTTTTCGTACTAATTCTGTCTTTCGTTTGTTTTCTTCGGCCTTTGCCTCTAAAAGCTTACGATTTTTAGCCACTCTTTTGTCGCGTTTGCGAACAAACTCTACTAAACTCTGCGATAAACAAAAGACAATCATTAAAACCACTCAAAACACTGTCACTAAAAGTGTCAAAACATACTCTAATTTCTTCGTTTCTCTTCTTTTTGGCCGAATCTCTAATCTTCTTATTCTCTTTGTCTATAAGTCGGGCGACGCGACGGTTGGGAGCGTCCGATGTCTGGTATACGTCTAAATAGTAATACGGTTTTGACGTACAATAACTCATCCAATAAGAGTAAAACCGGTGGACATCGCTGTACGGACTCTTTGAATCACCGAAAGGCGGCTGTTCTTCGCTGTCCTTCACATCGCCGTCTCTGAAGGGAATGTCTTCGTCGGTGATTGTATTGAATAGATTCCTATAAACGGTGTAAAAGCCGTTCTCGTCGTCCGTATAAGACGTGAAACAAAATGAACTGCAAAACGGATAGACGTCCACCTCTTTGTCCACAATCTCGTCCCGATTTTGACCGCAAAGTATGGAATCCTTGTGTTTGTCATACCTTTGGGAGGAAAACAAAGATAATGTGTCAACACGTGATGTGACGAGCGATGGTCAGTGTCTGCGAACCATTTCCTCTCTTTGGGATCCGACAGCACTTCGTAGGCCTCCTGAAGGAGTTTGAACTCATTGTTGGCCATCTCTTCGTTGTCTATATTCTTGTCGGGATGAAGACTGAGTGCCAATTGTCTGTACGCCTTCTTGATGTCGTCTTCCGTGGCGTCCATCGAGAGTCCCATCACTTGATAATAGCAGCGCTTTTTAGGCATCGTTTCAATCGTTTCTTTCGATCCTTTAATTCAATTCAAAATACAATCATTTGATTCAAAACAACGTTTTTATCATATGTTTAGGCATTCATTGCATTGCGTTCTCACAGCGGGTCTCACATACTGTACGACACCTTATATTCCATTTTTGTTGACATTGTTTTCAATACACACTTTTTCCTTAATTCAAGGCATAAAACTGGACGTCATTTATGACTAAAATGCCATCAATTCTACACTTTTAAAAGTTTTAACTTTAAATTAATTAATTGTTTAATTAAATTACGATTAATTGCATATAAAGTAATTTATTTTTAGTTACGCTTTATTAATTATAAAATAAATATTTTAATGTTAATTATTTTGAATTTTATTACATTCTTTATGTGTTGCTTTAAATGTAAAACTATTTGATCATGATCAATTTACCAATAACTAGTTTGTACTAGATACGTTTAGTTAAATAGTTAGATTATTGAGTATAACATATAACATGAATATAATTATAATGTATATTATATTACAAGCGATTAAATATTTTATTACTTTGAAATTTAATCCTAAAATAAAGTTATGTTTGATTTGAAAGCAGATGTTTAAACATACGATACATGTTAACAGTTAAACAAACTTTGAACACCATTACCATAACTATCGGGGGCATTATTCTAACTCAAAATTAACATGATCGATTGCAGTAAATTTTTAGTTTTATAATACAATTTAATTTATAATTACATTATAAATATTTTAATTAAATAAAACACTATTTAAATGAGAAGGAAATATAATTTTGAGCCAATGTTTGGACACTCCCTATGACTACACATGTATTGAATATAATGTCAACAAAACATTGAGTTTTCGAAATGATATCCCATTTTACAAATTAGTCTTCAGTTAAAGTACTTCT